TGGTAGTGAATACAGCTTTCCCTCAGTAGTGTTTGGGCACATAGTTTTGGAACAAAAACACATGTGAAATAGTAAGCAAGTGCTTATTGTTTTGTTCCGTCACTCTATTTTGTTATGGAGTGTAGACACAGGAAGATTCATGAATAATTTCTTCACTTGAAAAAAGAAGGGTGACATTTGGTTAAAGTAATCATGGGCATCATCAGGGCAAAAACATTTATTTTCACTCCAAACTGAGTTTTGATCATATTATAAAATTGAAAATAATATGACTAATTTCATATTTGGATTTCAATAAAAAAAAGACCAGATTTTTGAGTACGATCATCAATAAAAGAACAAACCATCTAACCTACAGAAATATTAGAAATATTTGAAGACTCCAAAATATCACTTTGAATATTGGAAATTGCATCTTTTATTATTAGGAGAAAAAATTACACATTTGTTTTTTGTCAATTCACATACATCACTGTGTAAATTTTTGTTTTTAGAAACCATAAATAAAGAGGGAAACATAATCTTAGGGATAGAGAAAGAAGGGTGTATTGATCTTCTATGGTGTAGCCATATCTTATCCACGGAGAGCTCGTAGAAAAAGTAATACGTGGCATCTCAGGTGCATTCACAAAGTATAATCCATCTCGAGCTTCAACATGTCCCATCATCATTCCCAAGTTCTGGTCATGAAATTCGCAAAGAGAATAAGAAAAGATCACTTCACTGGTATTAGATTTATACATTATTGAGAAACATGAAGTGCATTAGTAAGAGCAAAATGAGGACTGAGCTTTATGTTTCCAACTCCTGCTATTATGATTAATGACAGCAGTAATAATTTTCCTATTGTTGGGACATGGGACATAGGTGTTGTGTTAAAAATATTTAGAGGAATTGGTCGTATGGTTGGTGACTCCTGAATCTATAATCCAGGATAGTGCAAAAAGTGTTTCTTAGGCATTTAACCATGAGAGATGGAAAACTTACATGAACGAGCCAAGATATTCAAGTTGAGTCATCAGTCGCTCAATTTCTATCTTAAAATCACTGAGATCTGCAGTCTATTCTTCTCCTTCTGGGTGGACCATATGTGCCTTTCCTTGAGGTTTCTAGAAATTATTCTTACATTCCTACTCTTTGTTGAATATGTTAGGCTTCCCATGGAGTTTTCAACCTTTTTAGTGTGTAGAGACTGTGCTTTTAGATTTTTCCAGATATTCAAGTCGAGTCATCAGTTGCTCAATTTCTGTCTTAAAATCATTTAGATCTGCAGTCTATTCTTCTCCTTCTGGGTGGGTCATATGTGCCTGTACTTGACGCTTCTAGAAAATATTCTTGTACTTCTACTCTTTGTTGAATATGTTAGGCTTCCCATGGAGTTTTATTCTTTTTTAGTGTGTCATAGTTTCTTGCAGAAGGTATACCAAAAATTGTCCGTGTTCTCCTCACCAGTAGCTGGGATTTCATTGTCTTGGCTCTTTCGTATATTGGCATGGTTTTAAACTTTTAGTTGTCATTGTTGAACTTTCCGTGGAACGAGTTTCTAGCATTATCCCCTTTCTACTTTTTTCTGCAACTACAATTGAAATAACTTAAGGACGATATGTCTTCTTTGCCTAATATCTACCTGGTCAAACTCTGGGTTAAGGCCAACCATGAATTGGTATGCACAATCCTTCTCCACAAACTGCTTTAGGCGGGCTACATATTTGCTGTTAATACAGTGAGACAACGGTACTGATCAAATTCTTATCGCTGGTTTTGTAATATGTTAGCATATTCTAACACTGATATGCTTCATTGTTTTGCAAGCCAGGTTTTGATCATCAGTCATAGATTTGAGCAACATCTTTTACTCTAGAATTTATTTGTCTGACTACTTCCTAAACCTCCTTAGCAGTAGGGAGGAACATGCAAGTGTTGCTTATCTCTAGTGACATTGAATTCTAGAGCCAAGCCTTATCATCAAATCTTCCTCATACTAGCCACTAAACCATGGGTCTCATAGTTTAGATCCAGTGCTCAAAATGTGGCTGAGTTTTCCGTTTCCTTTGAGGATTACCCGAATCAATAGTGTCAGATTCAAATAATTTCTGATAAACCACCAGAATTAGTTGAAATTCTCTGTTAACTTCTTGTGAATTTTCCATATGGCGATTCGCACCTGTGCCTTAAGACGTAACCTTTGACATGATCTAAAGTTTTTTAGGGTAATTAGAGGTCGATTTTATAAGGAAAAAAAGAGATTACCGGGCTGAACAGGTGGCTGGACAGAATTGGTTTGCAGCTGTTGGACAGAGGCACAGCTGGAGGGATGTGCAGCTGGTAGACAGACTGCTGATAGGTGGCTGGTGCATGGCTGGAAGTGCGTGGCTGGATGGCAGGAGCACGGCTGGAGGCTTACGGCTTGGTGGCACATGCAGCTGAATGACACACGCTGTTGGCTGTTTGCATAGCTGAGCCTTGCCTACTGGTGCGCTAGATGCAAGTGGCAGCGGCTGCAGGTGACAGTGGCTGGAGGCTGGTAGCCAGCTATAAAGGCTGGTCCCATTTAGGGTTGTTTCTATTTTCAGTGATGAGGGTGATTTAAAGTTTCAAAAGAGTTAAGGTGTTTTTTCCTATAACTCTGATACCATGTGAAAGAATGGAATGTTGTGTATTTTATTGAATATTAGGGTCCTATATATACAGTTTCTTATGAATCAGTAAAGGAAAATAATTCATTACACTAGAGGGTATATTACTAACATACCATTTACTCTAATTGTACTTAATATACGCTTCTCAACACTTAGCATAAAGATGTGGAGAACAAGTACGTAAAATAAAAACAGTTAGGGGTAATTTTCTGCAGTATAACCTGGACCTTTGTCCTCATGTCAAAGGAAAATAATTCATTAGGGGTAATTTTCTGCAGTATAACCTGGACCTTTGTCCTCATGTCAAAGGAAAATAATTCATTACACAGTTTCTTATGAATCAGTAAAGGAAAATAATTCATTACACTAGAGGGTATATTATGAACATACCATTTACTCTAATTGTACTTAATATAGGCTTCTCAACACTTAGCATAAAGATGTGGAGAACAAGTAGGTAAAAATAAACAGTTAGGGGTAATTTCCTGCAGTATAACCTGGACCTTTGTCCTCATGTCAAATTATTGGTTGGATAATTAATTACCCTAAATCTCTGATCTGCTAAGAAATTACTCAATCTTATTTATATATATTCTAGCAGTCTCTTTAAATCATAGGAAGTGATCCATTTTGCATCTAAAGAACAAGCTATGTTGCCTAGTAAAAAATGTTCAAAGAACTTCTTTGAGATTGTTCTTCGTAATGCAGCTAACTCTACTGCATTCTACTGTATTTGAGGTGTTATTTAGCTTAGCATGAATAAGTTAAATGCACAACCATTTGGCAACCACATTGGTCGCTGCATCTTCTCACTTGAGAATGAGTGTTTGGATTATGACTGGTGTAGCAGCCTCTACTCTGTATCTAAAAAAGAGAAGAGTTAGTGATGTGAGCATTTGAGGAAGTATAGCTGCAGAACATGAACTTAATCTGTATCCAAAAACGAGATGAGTTAGTTAGCATGATGTGAGCATTTGACAAAGTATAGCTGCAGAACATGAACTTAATCTGTATCCAAAAAAGAGAAGAGTTAATTAGCATGATGTGAGCATTTGAGGAAGTATACCTGCAGAACATGGACTTAAATGTAGTTAATGGTTCAATTGCTGGTGGTAGCAGTTGTATCTTGAACTTATATTTCAATCTGAATTTCTATCTTGAAAGTTTATGTTGTTTTTTTCAACTCACTAACTAGGGTGGAATTGATGAGGGTGAAGATCCAAAAGTTGCAGCCATAAGAGAATTAAAAGAAGAGACAGGTGTCAACTCAGTAGAAGTTCTGCAGAGGTATGGTTTCTAGAAATTGCTCGTTCCTTAACTTTCTCTTTTCTTTTGTTTGTAGTTAACAGATTTTGGAATTTTGAAGCGTAGTTTTTGTGCTGTAATAGCGTTGGTGATGGAGGACTATCCCATATGCAAACTTTAGACTCGCTTGTTTCAGTACAAAAAGAAGTTGAATGTTTGCATCTTGATTTTATTGGATACACACACACGTTATCCATATGCATTTCTCTTTTGCAATTTGTGTCGATGAGTATGCTTCAAGCAGCACACAATTGTTTGCCATTAGTGTCAGTACCAAAACTGTCAATCACGCCCTGTTTGGTTTAATTCCTATTTAATTTTCATCTTAGCCTAACCCCGAAGAGTTCAAGTAAATACTGGTTTGATTCAAATATGAAGACTAGAATCTTATTTTACTTGTGAAGTTTTATGCTAATACTTAAGAATAAAATACCTTGAATGTGAATTTAACTGAATGAGTATATATGTTTGATATCATGCAGTTTGGACTTTAACAAAGCCCCTCATAGATGCATCATTACTGTGTTTATTTATTGGTTTGGACATGCAGGTACCTTATTGGTTGACATATGACTTCCCACCGGAAGTCCGAGAAAAGCTTAAACATCAATGGGGATCAGACTGGAAAGGTCAAGCACAGAAGTGGTAAGTACTGAGTAGTACCAGTTATATGTTTTTGCTTTTTGAATAATTGAGTACCACTTATGGTTAGATAATATGTCAACTTGAAATGCATAGCTAACTTGGGTCCTCTTTACTACTAGAAAATGGCACAATTTTATTTGTTGATGTGTGAATTCTGAAATACTTGAGCTGTCGTTGTTTTAGTTGTGATAGTACTGGAAGGTGCAAACAAGTTTATGGGCTGTCAAGTTAAAAAAATATGAATCCTACAGGTTGGTTTCTAATAATTCATGAAGCAAATTATAATATTTCTGCAATGCAATTGGGTAAAAAATGTAGAAATCTCATTTTGTTTGTGCAATTGTAGAAGAGATTTTTGTTTTCCACTGTAATGCAATCCCCTACAATTTTTTTTTTCATTTTAAGGAATTAATTATCATCCAGTAACAAGTATGAGTAGTGATAGTACTCGATAAAAAGAAGAAAAGAATGAACAAAAGAAAATCCTTTTAATCAATATTGTAATGTGAGCATTGATTTTCAATTTTCTCTTCCTAAAGAAGTTTAGATTTTGTTTGAACTGTGTGAGAACAGAGTTTTAAAGGAAGAGTTTTAGTTTTTTCCTGAATTGGGGTAATTTTTTTTGATGAAAAAGCATTCATTTTGTTAAACTAAACATGTTTTTATTTGTTTACAGAAAAAAAAGGAAAATTGTGTTTGGTAAAGAAAAAATCTTCTAGTTTTCATTTTCCTTTACTCATGTTAATACAGAAAAGCATGTTTGATGGGTAAAAGTAAAAATAATTTTGAGAAAATAAAAATTAAAACAGGAAACGAGTTTGAAAATGACAACAAAATATTTCTAGCTTCCTATTAGAAAACTATCCTCTTAGATTAGATATAAGGGATATCTTGAGTTTTACTCAAGGCGAAGTCTCTTCCCTAGATGATTTTAGAGATGCAATCCTCCATAAGTTTACTGTGTGTCAATAAATAAACATATTTCTATATAATAAGCAAAGTCTAACTTTAAAAAAAAAAAATCTGAAAATTTCTAAAAGTAGACAGTTCTTAAATATGCAGAACTCTTTTAGTAGTTTCATGTTCTTCATACGGAAATACATTTGGATTTCTCCTTTTGTTCATTCCCATTTGAGCTGGCAATGACATTGGTTTCCCAACAAAAATTGCAGGTTTCTTCTTAAATTCATTGGGAATGAAGATGAAATCAATCTTTTGGGTGACGGAACTGAAAAACCAGAGTTTGGCGAGTGGTTGTGGATGTCACCTGAAGAAATAATTGTGCATGTGGGTGGCTTTTTTTCTGTTTAAACACACACACACACACACATATATATATGGAACATATTGCTGGCCCTAAATCAATCTTTAAAATATTTTGGCCTGATTGTTCTTTTCCTAATTTCCGTGCAGGCGGTAGATTTCAAGAAGTCTGTTTACAAAGAGGTTTTGGCAGTTTTCGCTCCCCATCTTCAGTAACAACTTTGTTTAGATGTTGATTGTTTGCACTGCTATCAAATGAATTCATATTGATTCTGGTTTGGCCGAGGAAAAGTGGTACTTTTTGCCATCTGCCTCCCTTTCACTCAGATAAAAATTCTACTCCTATATCACTGACATATTTATAATCTCCCGTTGTGTTAACTAAGGAACAGAGAATTGTACATTTTTCTTAATTATCACAGTTAAATCCGATATACCCGTGTCAACATTTTTCGTACAACTAAACTGCCAACAACTACGAAGTTGTGTTATTATGGCTTGAGGAAGAATGTCAAGTATGTGATATTGTCTCTTCAATTCAGAGTTCTTGAATTTATTACCGATAATTTCACTGATAATGATAAGAATTCATTTATTTGATTCTGTGATTTGGATTAAATTATGAAGTTACAGTATCTCAAGGCAACACTTTACACTTGGATGAATGTTCAAGGATGTATATGTGTGTTTTTCTTCCTCAGGTGTTATTGGAAATTGATTAGAAATAGTATTATTAATGTGGTAGAAACAAATTTTTAGAGAATAATATATATATATATATGTATATCTTGCCTACGATTCAAACTGAGATTTTTTCCAAACCTATTGTCCTTTCATATGGTTTTTAAAATATTTTTTAAAGAATAATTATAAAAATACTCTAAAAACACAATTGATTTAGGTAAATGTAATTAATCAGTTTCAAAATTTATTTTTATGATTTAATGTAAATTTAAAAATAATTTATTATAATTACGGAGTTAAAAAAAAAAACACTTTATGACTAACTCTCTTACAATTTTGTGTAAGTCTTACATAATGTGCAGATAATGCCATGTTAAGCAATTAACAATTAGCGGTTAATCTTGTATCCTGTTTGAACCTTTAACTTCAAGATAGGCTGCTCCAGGTTAAATTAGTTAGTCAAGACCCATTCAATGCACAAGAATAAATGTTTATCAATCAGTATATTGTTTTTGATATCAGAAAGAGATTTTCTGGACTTATTTTAGGTTTACGATTTTGGATTTATTTCAGTTTTATTGATTTCTTCTATAAAATTATATCTACAGAAAAAAAAAATATTGTTATGTTTATAAACAATTACAAAAAAAAAAAAAAAAAAAAAACAATTTAACCTCTACACAAAATAAAATAGGGGTAAAAAATATTTTTTTGTCATTTATGTCAAAACATTTTTTCAGTACATCATTTATGTCAGGCTATGACTTACGTATAACAAGATTATAAACTAAAATAATTTAATAAATTTAAATACCAAATTATAATAAAATTTTTTAGACCCAAAATAATAATTTACCTTATATTAAGTGATAAATATTTTTTTGGATAAACCAAATTGATAATTTATTTTATGTCAAATAAATCAAGATTATATAATAAATAAAAATATATTAAAATCACATATTTTTATTAAAATATTCAATATAAGATGTCCTAACTTCTATTAGAGAAATAATTGGAGAAGATTATGGAAGAAGATCGCTATAACATAGACAAATATTTGGTGTATATTTTCTTGCACATTTTTATGCTTTGATCATGTTTATTTTATTATTTGATTTATTCTCTTATCATGTTTCCCTTGGTTATGCCTTAGTCATAGGAATAGTACTTATATATCCAACGCCACTATTGTAATTAATCAAGTTAACTTAACTATACAAATTTTTATGGTATTAGAGCAGGTTTACAAACTGCAAATATGAAGTATGCCCACTAAAATTGTACCTTCAAACAAAGCTGCTGAAGGTTCTCTTTATTATCTACACCCATCTGACCATCTAGGCTTGATTTTTTTCACGCACCCTCTTAGTGAAAATAGAGACAACTATTTCATTTGAAGGCGCAATTTTATAAATGCACTTCATTTCAAAAACAAAGCTAGTTTTGTGAATGGAATGATTAAAAGCCCTGATGTTAGTTTGCCAGATTTTCACCCTTGGATGTAAGGCAATGCGATTGTTCTGTTCTGATTAATAAACGTACTTGCT